CTGAGGCATCTAGAATCTCTACTGAGTCCTTAAAATCTGTGTTGCTGCATTTGGTGTTTTTTTTTCTTTCCATATCTACTTTCTCTGTGGTTTTTAAATGGTTGATAACCGTAAAGATTAGGAAAAAAAATCCTGCTGCTAAATAAAATTTGTTTGGGAAAAAAAAAAAAAAAGAAGAAAAAAAAAAAAAAAAGTGTGGAAAAAATACGTAGCTAGGTCCAAACTGATGGCAAGCTTGTTTGTTCACCTTTAGGATACATTTACCTATTCCCATTCAGTCTTGCTTTCTGTTCTGCCACAGCCTTGCTGTCCAGCATTGTAAGCTGTTCATCTCCAGAACCAGAGCTCACCTTTAAATGTGCTTGGGCTAGAAAAAATGTGCCTGCCGAGGTCATTTGCAGAGCAAGAGTTAATGCAGCATGCAAACAGCTAAATAAAGGTTACAATCTGAGTGGAATTAGAGCTCAGGCAGAAATCTGGCCTCTGCAGGCTGTCGCTGGGTGTGAGGAGTCTGGCTCGGTGTCCCTGCCACCCCCAGACCCCTCCTGGCTCTCCTGTGACCCCCAGGGCAGAGCCCGGGGCGGTGCTTTAAACCAGTCACCAGGGACTGGCTGCTGCTGGGCTCAAAGGGAGAGGGACATCCAGACCCCCTGGCCAAGCCAAGGTATGGTGGGAAATGCCAGAGACAAGGAGGAGAAAACTGGAAGGCACAGTAGGGTGAAAGACAGTTTGGTTTTCCTGTCCATAATTGCTCAGATTAGTGCAAAGTTTAAGGAAAGTTTGTTGACCATCAGGAAAGATGTTCTAGTGTTGATGTTCTGTGAGCTGTCTGCAATAATCTGGTGCTGGAAACTCATTGAGAAATTTAGCATGGTCCTTGACAAAATACTGGAGAACTTATTGGAAGGAACAGTTCTGTGCAGGGCAGAAGGGGCAGAAATTGCCCTGCTGAATTTCTGCATTTGTTTCTCTTACTTTCTTTCCCCATTGATTTCAGAAGTCTCCCCAGGCTCAGCTAACTGAAAGAGAAGAACCCACCCCCTTCATACCGTAGGCAAGGTAAGGAGGTTGTGTTCACAAAAATGGAAATAAAAAAAGGAGGAAGGAATCTAAACTTGGATGTTGCTTCCCCCCAGCACACCCGAGCAGCAGATTCCCTAAAAGAAGGCTAGAGAAAGATTGCCATCTTCTGGAAGGATAAATATCTGCCATTCTTCAGAATGCTAAATGTGATAGATGCCTATTTTTGAAACCATGGCACATTTCTAATAAATTTATTTTTCAGCCTGAATTCTTATCCATATAAATCTAAATCAGCCTCATTTCATCAACATATATGCCATGATCCCAGCTTTAGAAGCTGACATAGCATCCTGGATTTTGAACAGACTCTCATCAAGCTTAGAATTAGGAACATGTTAACACTAAGGATTATCAGTAGCGAGGTGGACTCGTTCTATTCTTCAGCCTGAAAACCAGGTTTCTGTTTTAGTGAGCATTCAGAAGCCAAACTTAGTCCCCAGTTGCAGAGAGACTGAACAGTGGGGAAAAAAAATGACCACTCTCCTTTTAAGCAGCATCAGCTGTCCTCCTGCTGTCCCACCTCCTCCATCAGTGATGTGTCTGTGTCAGACAGAGCCTCCCACGGAGCAGGAAGCCCGCGGGCAGTGCCTGGAGAGGGGAACATCCAGCATCGCTTCCAGCCAGCCCGTCTGAGGATTATCGGCGTTAGAGGAGTTCGTGCAGCGGGGAGGGCTGAAGCAGGCAGAGCTCCCGCCCGTTCTGCTGGAGGCAGGGAGGGTCAGGAGGGGCTGTGGGACCTGCCTGGGCTGCCTTTCCCGCCGCTGTCCTGCACCCGCCCCCAGGGACCGCTGGTGTCCCCTGGCCTGGCACAGCAGGGGCAGGCGTGCAGGGAACCCACGCTGCCCCCCTCCAGCGGTGGGACCCTCGCCTTGCTGGCGCTGGGCAGGACCTCTGGGGAGGAGATGTGCCCCCGGGGTGCCCCCGAGCCCTGCGGAGTGACTCAGTGCCACGCTGCTCCCTGCACACCGGGCACAGGCTGCTCTGGGGAGAGGTGGTGCCACTCTCACCTCTCACTGTTCTGCTGCCAAAGTTATCAGCACCCTCAGGTGTTGTGGGAGCCTTTGGATGTTCAGGACAGGAGCTCAGGGGGGACTTTGGATGAGTGTGAATTCTTCTGTTTCTCCTCACCAGTGTCCCAGATTCCTGCCGTGGAGCTGCCGGGAGCTGGGGTTCCTGGGGAGCCCCGTGCCCTGGTGGAAGCTGTCACTGTGCAGGACACTGGCAGTGTCCCTGTGCTCCCATCCCTCAGCTGCTGGCCTCGGGGTCGCCACTGTCCCACACAGCTCTGTCCCAGCAGGGATGCTGTGCAGCCTTTCTGCTGAGGGGCTCCTTCTGTCACTGGAACCCCCTGTGCCTGCGGGGAGAGCTGGGCTGGGACCCCTCTGGGGTCTGAAACCCGCAGTCCTCCGAGGAGATGCAGTCACATCAACCTTCCCCTCCCCACTTTTCAGCTCTCCCCTTTCCGTGAGAGGCAGGTCTGGCTGGAAGATACCCTGTCCCAGGGCTGGGTGTCCAGGGCCCTTGTCCCTCTGCTGATGCCATGCACAGGGCAGGGGGTGACCTGACCCCCGGGGTGCTGGCAGTCCCTCAGCTGAGGCCGCTCGTCCCCTGAAGCATTGGCCAGAAAGCCACCAGCTCACTCCGTACGAGCTCCCAGAGAGCCACAGCATGGAGACGGGGCGACCTGCCTGTGATTTGCAGAAACTTTCAGCTCAGTCAATGCAGGTCACCCTCCTGCACCTAATCCCAGCCCGCAGCAGCAGCTCCGGGTAATCCCCCCGAGCATCTGTCCTGGCGCTGGGGATTACACAGGGACCACTGCCCACCAGCAGCTGCTGCCCCAGCACTGCAGTAATCACCCGGGGCAGGGGGGGTGAGGAGGATGAAGGGGTCTGGAAGCAGTTCGGTTCCTTGGAGGATCTAGAGATGAGCAGAGCAGCAGACGAAGCAGGAGTCCCAGTTCGGTGTCGCCCCTCCAGTTCAACAGGACCCTGAGGACTTGCTGCCAAGGTAAATTCAGCTCTTTCTTCTTGGGGCTAGACAGAAACTGTGCTCGGTTATTGCCACTCCGTGCTCGGCTTTTCTGGAGGGAACTTTCCTGGCACTGTTCTCATGAAGGAGTAGTTCAGGTTTGGTTTTCATTCCCTGTATCCTCTGCATCTCTGATCCAGTTCCTCCTCCTGATTCCTTCGGTTCATGTATTTTTTTGCCTTTTTCGTTATCACATGTTCTGAAATCATATTGACCTTCCAACTACTATAACAAATCAACTGGAGAGAATATTTTTCCCAGTATTAAAAATTTAAATTAGAAAAATTATTTTTGCCAATGTTATGAGTGGAAAGATTTTTATTTTTTTTTGTTAAAAGCATGAGCAAACTAAAACCTGATGACAAAAAAATCTTGTAATCAAGCATTGATGAAAAACTTTGTGTGCAGAAGGTTTCTATTTTCAGATGAAAAATCATGTTTTTGAGGAGACCCATTTTATCAATAGTTTCCTTTTCAGTCATAAGCCAAATTTTCCACTTAAAAACTTTCAGTGAGGAATTTCCCATCAACCTTGGCCGGAAACCTTCACATAATTAACTGTTCCTAGTAGGTATCTACTCTGTGAAAAGAGTGACACTCAGCATACCTTCAGAGGAGAGAAATCTTTAGTTATGGTATCACTGAGATGTTGCCATCTCCAGGGTGTAGCATGTGCACTGCTGACAGAAAGAAATGCTCTGGTGAGAAGACCAAAGGAGGCAGAGCATAAAACAATAGAGGATTTTTTCAGGAGCTGGGTATTTTCTTGACTGATTTATTTCTGGTAGTGTCCAGGGTATACTGGGCCTTCCTCACACCTTCAGCGTCGGCTGAGTCAACTGAAGCTGGGTGAAGGGGACCAGCAGCAGGCAACGTCTGTACAAACTGAGCCTATTCACAGGCAAATAGGTTTTCAGAGTCAGAAATAGGAAAGGGTGGGAGTATCTGGACGAGGCTGTGCCAAACATAGGGAGTGCCATGTGGGCAGAGGCATGCATTGACTGCATGAGTGCTGCTGTGTGGGTGGATGACATCTAATCCATCCGTGGAGTGACAAGCTGAGGTTCTCAGCAGTCAGTGCAGGGTTTGCAGGAACCCTCAAATCTCAAACTTCCCTCCGAGTGAGAGGGACCACAGCAGCCTGGTACACAGACTGCTTCCTGAATTACTTCTTCTAATGAGGTGAAACTGGGAAGAGGGTTTGTGGCAACCTTTGCTCTTAAAAAAAAAACCCCTTTGGCACTCTGTGTGAGAGCAGAGACTGTCATCCCCCCACCCTGCCCGACTCCCAAGGGGCGGAGAGGTGCTTGCCCACCTGGCGGGTGCTGCTCTGGGGCTTGAGCTGCCAGGGCTGTGCCACCGAGCAGGTCACCCAGGAATCCTGCCCTTCTCCATGCTGAAGCCACTCCACCTCCCAGGTACAGTAAAGGACTGCTTGAAACAGGGGTTTGGAGCATGTAGCAGGAGGAATTCTCATTCAGTTGGACAGAGCATTCATCGTGCCCCATCTAAATATCCTATTTAGGGAGCTGATTAACAGTTTCCCCAGCCACCTCTGAGCTGGAGTGGATGTGATGTGCCTTTCATTCTGCTCAGGGGCTGACAGGTCCTGGGGCACTCAGCCCTGCCACATCTCCTGGCCCATCCTCTCTTCCCCAGGACGGACTTTGGGTGTGGTTGGAGCTCACGTGTTGCTCCACTGCCTTGGCTCTCAGGAATGGTCCTGCCACGCTGGCTGAGCTGTTGGGATGTTGTCAGGAGAGCAGAGAGCTCACATCCCCTTTTCACATCCCCTTTTCACGGCCGGGTGCTGGGAAGAGCCGGGGCTCCTGGGGCTGGGTGGGACCGTGGCCGGGGTGACAGCCCCTCCCGTCGGTCTCTTGCAGATGGAGCTGCCGAAGGCGCTGCCGTGGCGCCGGGCGTTCCTGGCCGTCATCCTCAACCTGCTGGCACTCAGCCTCTCCACCACCGCCCTGCTCGGCAGCTACTGGTGCACGGGCACCCAGAAAGTGCCCAAGCCTTTGTGCGGGAAGAGCAAAGCCACCAAGTGCATCGGGGTGCCCGCGGCAGGCGAGGCGGGCGCTGGGAACACCTCCTCGGAGGAGGTGGTGCACTACAGCTGGGAGACCGGCGACGACCGCTTCGCCTTCCGCTACTTCCACACCGGCATGTGGCTCTCCTGCGAGGAGAGCATGGAGGGGCCAGGTACCGTCTGCCCAGGCAGCCACAGCTCCTGCCTTTGGCTTTACTCCTCGGGTGTTTGGAAAGGGAAGGCAGGAGGCCTCCCCACACCTGGGAGAAGAGCCGCCTTCATCTTCCTCCGTGGCATCAGCCCCGCACGTTGTGTGGTCCTGCTGTGCCTGCCCTTTAGGAGGGTGTTGTCCTTTATGGGGAGAGGGGCGAGGGAGCACGGTTGTCTCTGGTGTGCCCTCGGGTCTGGAACTGGGGCTGTGAACCACAAGAGGTGATGGTGGTGGCAGCAACTCTGGGATGGCATCGTTCATCCTGACGTGAAGTGGAGCGAGCCTCCTTTCCCTGTCCCCACAGCTCCATTCCCACACACAGCTCACTTCATGGTCTCCAGTGCACATCTGTGCTTGTTCCCTCAGAAATCTAAGCAGGGTGATTTAATGCAGTGTTACATATTTATAGTTATCACTATAACTATAGGACTGCAAGAGTTGGTGTTCTCCTTAAGTCACCAAACTGAGAGCTTTTGTGACTTGAACAGGGATTGGGCTTTTCTTAACCAAAAAATCAAATAATTAAAACAATAGAGGAGAACTACTTATAGACACAGAGAAAACCTGGAGGATCTGAACCCAGAGGAACTAGAGCTGGGAGGCAAATGGACCTGAGAATTAGAGCAGCAGTACTGTAATTTTTTAGCTGTTTTTGTGATACTGTGACAGGTTTAATTTGTGAGTTTTGATCCCGTGGGACTGGCTCTGTAAACCCTGGAGTGTCAGGGACTGTTTGTGCAGCTTGTGCTACACCTCCCTGGTGCCTCTTCACCCCTGGCTCGCTGCTGCCCAGCCCTGCTGCTGAAGCCTGTGCCACAGCAGCACAGGTGGATGCTCTGCAGGGCACGGGTGCAACTTATGGCCTGACACACACAGCAAGGAGCAGAGCTGCCCCGGGTGGCCAACAGGGAGGTTTTTATCTAAGGACAGTGATTACAGTGGCTTTCTTCAGGACCATCCCCGTGAGCCCACCACCTTCCCTTCAGCTCTGCCCAGGCACAAATGTCTCACCTGCTCTAACTAAGCATTGCTCACGTTCCTCTCTGTTGCTGTCAAGAGTTTGAAAATAAAGGACTGGTGAATAAAAGCAGACAGAGGGGGAGTGGGAGCAGGGGGGAACGTGCTTGAAGCTCTCCTGTCCTAACGAGAGGGCTGCTCCGTTGTGAGCGCTGCAGCCGTGCTGCAGAGGGAGAGGGGTGTGGGGAGTGGGTCAGGTGGGGCTGTGGTTCCATGGTGCCCGTGGCAATGGGGCTTCATCCCTCGACAGCTTTCTCTGAAAGACTGCTCTGGCCATCCTGCAGCCCTGGAGTGACCCCAGTGCCCGAGGGAGCACGGAGCAAGGGGCAGGCTGAGCCCTGCTCCCCACAGCCTGGGCATGGCCATGGGGCTGGGGGCCACTGCACACCAACAGAACCAGAAACAGGGGCTGCTGGGGGCAAGGGGAGTTGGGCTGAGCTGGAGAAAGGATCACATTATTCAGGCTAATCTCGGGATCATTTTAGATGAGTCATTACCGAAGAACCTCATTAAAGTTCTAGGTGAGCTAGCAAGCCTCAAGTTAATGAGGACTGCAGATGGCATTAAACTGGGTAGCACCCGCCAAGCTGTGGATGACAGAAGTAATACAGGAGATTGGGAGAGATTAGAATTGGGGATAGAAATCAAGAAAATTGGGTTCTTGCACAAAAAGTGGCAGCCTGATACTTCTGGGACAACATGCTGTGCCGAGTATGGGAGAGGACCCTCAAACACAGCAGTGCAGGATGCAGGAAGAGAAATTTAGAGATGATAGGGATGGGTCCTCAGCTGAGACAGTAGTTTACATCTGGCCAGTAGGAAGCCAAAGCAAACAGGAACACCATTTGTCTAAAGAGCATGCCTGAAATGTGAGTACAAACCATATTTCTGTGTGACTCTGGCACAGAAGGGAGCTCACATCTCTATCACACAGCATTTCATTTGGGAAGGTTTTCTTTCTTTCCTCCCTCTTTGGAAAGCAGTGCTAGAACTGCTCTGCTGAGGCTGGGGAGAGTAGGAATTCTCATCCTCATCAGAAGTGGTGGGTCTGCAGTCTGTCAAAAGATACACCCTTAACAGGTCTGACCAACAGTCATACTGTGAAGGAGTAGCAACAGATTTTTATATTCACCAGAGGCTCAGAAGATTTACAAACTGCAAAGTTTTTTTCTGGAAAGGCCACTTCTAGTTTTCCAGGCAGACATTGCCCCAGTGCAAATCTGGAAGGATGGTGAGGCAGAGAGCAGAGGTGAGATCTGAGGGGCAGACTCAGGGGTGACTGGAGCTCTGAGTGAGAGGCAGAGATGCCCCTGGGGTACCCTGCAGGCTGACACTTGTGGTTCTGTGTTTCAGAAGAGAAATGCCGCAGCTTCATCGAGCTGTCCCCACCGGCAGAGAGAGGTAAGAGCACATCCCCCACCTCACTACAGCTGCCTGGTCACCTCCTCGTGCTGGGGGACCTGAAACCTTTCACCCGTGTGAGGACAGCGGGGCGGCTCCCCAGAGAGCCAGGCAGGAGGTCCTGGCCTCATGGCTGCTAAAAGAGCAAAGATTTCCTCCCAGATGCTCGCCTAGACCACTGCCATCTGGGAGGTCAGTGCTGGGAACCTCCCTCACACAAACTGGGACTTGTCTCACCCAGTAAATTGCCCAGTCTGAGTTTGTCACCTTGCTGTGGTCAGTGGGAAGGGCATGAGTGCCACCTGAGGGCAGTCCTCCCACAGATGCCACATGTTGACTCTGCTGCTGTTTTGGGGTCTATGTGGTGACTCTGGAAGCTGAATCACTTCTTACTTTGTGGTAAGTGATGAGGCCATCTCAAAGTTACATTTTCAGGGTGAAGCCCTTGCCTCATCAAATACAAAACTTCATTGGAGTTGAAGAGTTCACCCCTCCTGTCATTGTTGCATATTTCAGAGTGTCTTGGGGATCTTCAGTATACCTGGGTGTGTACGTATGCAGTGGAGCTTTTACTTACTGAGCTTTTCAGCTGCTGTGGCTTGCTCACTGCTCCCTGGGAAAGGCTGGGGGAGAGTCTCTGCAGAGGCTGTTCACAGGGGAAGGGAAGGGCTGGGGAGCAGAGTCTGTGCCAGGACTCCAGCCATGAGAGCCAGGGCTGAAACCAGTGCTGGGAATGGGAACAGCCAGAAGGGAGATGAATACTTTTGGGGAGTTCATCTTTTTCTGCCTTGTTTTCCCTGTTTTAAGATCTCTGGCAAGGACTGCTGATCTGCTTTATAAGGTGATGCTGAGTCCCAGGTGAGGGCTCTGGTGTGAGTGCCGTGCTGGATCGCTCTTGGCACAACAGCAGGGCAGAAAACCTCCCCTGCTTACACTTCTGGAACCAGTATCCACACAGTTCAAACACTGCTGGTGTCACAGGATAATTTTGAGGGCGTGCAGATCTCCACTTTGTTATAAAATCATTGACTTGAGTGCATTTGTTGCATGACTCTTGCATGGACTCACGTCACAACTCTCTTCTCTCTCACCTTCTTGTGCTCCATTCCCTGCCCAGGCCTCTGGCTCTGGTGCTTCCAGTGTCCTTCTTACGGACTGTTTTCCTGAGAAAGGAGGTTTATGCAACCAGATTATGTGTCTGTAAATCTTCCTGTCTGTCTCCTCTCACACAGCTCCTGCTGCTCCTTGCCTAACTGCACTGCTGCGTTCTGTAAGGTGTCGAGCTCCTGCAAATAAATTGGAAGATGACTTTGAGCTTAAGCATGACACTGGTGGTGGCACTGTGATCTTAGCAGCTCTGTCCCCTGCTTTTGACCCTTCCTGCCCATAGCATCATCTTAAGATGACCTTGGCCTCCAGGCCAGCCGTTTTGTATTTGAGCCAGCTCTGGAGAAGGTGATGGGACTGCTGATTGCAGGCTGGGCTGGGTGTGCACAGGGAGCTCCACATGACATAGGCAGCACCATGAGACCAGGTGACAGAACACAGGTGGGGAGCCTGGGCTCACAGGGGAGGTGACGCAGAGACCTCTCAGCATGTGTGGTGCCTGCAGCCTCCAGGATACCTTTGGCCGTCTGACCTGTGTTGAAATCTCCTCCCTGGTGGTGCTGCAGCAAGCAAGCCAACTCCTTTACCCAGGGAATGCAGCTCATAAATTCCTGCTAAAGAGCTGGGTGACTCTATGGCACTAATGATGTTGAGGAGACAAGTCATTGCCACATTAATGAGGGTTTTCTTCACACTCCTTTTCCCCAGCTAAACGTATCCTCTGCAGCCATTAGCAGTTGTGAACAGTAGTGTTCACAGTGCTGCTCTGTTTGTCAGATTAATGTTTCTCCCTCAGTGAATCCCGTGCTTTGCCACAGCCCAGCACTGCAGGGGGATTGTCTCCTTCTCCAAGTCCTTCTGCACGGCGAGTTTAGCTGTGGGCTGTGGCATTGCTGGAGTCCCACTCCTCGTCCCAGCATGGAAGTGCCTGCGTCCTGTGGGTGAGTGGTGGCTGTTACTGCCCAAGGAACACAGTTCCAGTTTTATTGGGGTTACAGTGAGGGATACAGGCTTGCAAGGGGCCTCCTGAGTCCCAGAGGCCAGATCACAGCCCCAGTCATGGTCGGCCCATACAGTCCTTTACTTAACCAGCTGAGTCTAAGCTTAAAATCAATCTCCTTTTATTGCTCTGGTTAGAAATCTACTCTGACAGTGGCTGTGCTAACGGGTAAGAACCTCTAACGCTCAGCTCAGGTGTGTTCATGGCCAGTCTATGATCACCAGGTCTTGTACTGACACTCAACAGCTTTTCCCTGTCTTTTCCCCTTGGTTTCCTTCTTGCTGTCTATGAATAATGCTGGCTTGTTTACAGGCAGCATTTCAGTTCCTCTCAGCTTTTGCCATGCCAGACTAGCCAAGCATCTTCTGTGACAGACTCTGCTGTCCCTTTCAGCATCCTTTGAGCCTTTGCTTGCAGGCTTTTGGGTGTTCGCTGGTTTTGTTCTTTCCCTGCGTTCCAAAGGACACCCCTCTGGGGCTGGGCTGGCAGGTGGGAGTTCAAGCTCTGCCTTGAACAAGCTCTCCTGTATTGACGTGGGCAGTCTCTGGTTCCCGGCAGGAATCCTGTGGCTGTCCCTGGGATCAGAGATGTTGTACATCAGCTTGCTGCTCATCAGCTTCATCCTCCTGATGGTGGAAATGCTGCACACTGGCAATCCTGTCTGTGGGTTGAAACTCAATGCCTTTGCTGCCGTCTCCTCAGTACTGTCAGGTGAGTGTCTTACTGCAGCCTCGGCATCACAGCAGCAGGAGGACCTTCTCCCCTGCACACTGTCGAGGCGTGCTGCTCTGGCTCCTGCTGTAACTTCTTTGCTTTCTTGTCCTTTGTGTCCAGGTCTCCTCGGGATGGTGGCACACATGATGTACTCTCAAGTCTTCCAGGCGACGGTTAATCTGGGACCAGAGGACTGGAGACCACACACATGGGACTATGGTTGGGCATTCTAGTACGTGAGTTCTGACGTCATCTTCACCTCTCCATCCAGCCTGTTGGCCTTCAGCCATGCTACACCCTTGCCAAAATCCACCTTTTTTGACCTTTTGTGTTTCCAAAGATGAGTGTACCATGGTTCTCCTACTGCTAATCTCCTTTGCCCCATCCCCTGCTTTAACAAATAGCTGCCAAGTTACTTAATGAGTTAAATGAGTAGCTACCAAGGACAGGCCAAACAGTGGGGTCACACCTAAAGGAGTGACTTCACCCCTGCTGAGCAACCAGGTTTGCCCCTGGGCTGGTTTACCCCGTTTGGTCTCCGGTCATCCTTGTGTGAGGAGGCCAGTGGCACGTTTGTGGTGATGCTCTCCAGAGAGCTTCACCCCTTGGGTTTCTGCTGTATAAGTTGTGAGCTGGTTTGGGTGCTCCACTGACCAGTGTCCAAGGGGCCTGTTCCTGCTGCGCCGAGCTAGACACATGGTTAAAGCTGGGCAGAGTGCAGCCAGGAAGAGCAGCTGCAGAAAGCAGGTGACTCAGGGCTCCTCCCTGCAGAGGCTGAAGCCAGCTGTGGGTGGTGTGGCACAACTGACCCGAAAACCAGCTGGACGAGCCTTGCCAACAGCCCCGGACAGTGCAGGCTCCATCTGCCATGCTGGGCTGACAATGACACCTTCATTTGCAAGACTTAAATGCTCCAATGCCACATGCAGCTGGGGACATCAAAGGTCAGCATGGGCCTCTGGTTGTGCTCAGGGTTATGCCTCATGTCCAGGAAGACACTGGTCAGTCCTGAAATACAGAACTTGCTTCCAAGCTGTGTTTGCTCCCTTCCCTGTGAAAGGATTGACCAGTATTTACCTCACTGATCTAAGATCTTGTGGTGGGATAAACCCTGAAAACTCTGATGTTATGAGCCTTGGTCTTTCTAGTCTATGTCCCCACCCAGCAGCTTCTGCCTGGGAAATCAGGGTGCACCATGGTGTGTCCAGCTCACCTCCTGACCCTGCCTGGCTCCTCACAGCCTGTGCTGCTCTTCTCCCTGCAGCATGGCCTGGGTCTCCTTCACCTGCTGCATGGCCTCTGCCGTCACCACCCTCAACACCTACACCAAAACGGTGCTGGAGTTCAAGAGGAACCACTTCAAGGGCTACGACGGGAGCTTCAAGGTCCCTCCTCAGCACCACCAGTGCTTCCTCCAGCAGCAGATAAGCAGCTACTACCTGCCCCAGAAGCAGCCCCTCCACTCGCTCTCCGAGGGAGCTGACTTCTACGCCGAGCTGCAGCAGAAGGTGCTGCAGAGGGACCCAGAGCTGGAGCTGGATGAGGTCCTGGGACAGATGATGGGGGAAGATCACTGCTAGGCACCAGGGTGCAAGGGCAGAGCAGAGGGCCTGGGGAGGCACCAGAGCTCTGAGCCTAACGCTAGCACCACTGTTGGCAAGTTCTTGGGGAGCTCTTCCTCCATCTGTGGCTCGGGGAGTGGGAAGGTGGGCACTGGGCTGTGGCAACAGCAGTGCCAACAGCAGCAGGGGGGTCCTCCCTGGTCACCACTGCAGGGGTGTCCTCGGCTGAGAAGACTGAAACTGTTGTTGGTGCCAGCTGTCTCCAGGAACTTTCAGCCAGAGCTGGGGCAGATGTTGCAGTCCCAGCAGTACTGCTCCTGGGACCAGCCTGGCAGTGCCACCCAGCTGGGAATGCAGAGCTGCACCTCTCAGGGTGCTGGCACAGTGACCTTCCAGCCACTCCCTCGCTCCAGTGCTACTGCGGGGCACCAGTGCTCCTGCTGACTGGCTCTGAACAAGCCTCTCGGACACCCTCTTTTATCCTTCCTCTCCAGGCCCAGCCTCCTCCTCTCCCTGCTCCCAGACCCAAGGCGCTGCCGCAGTAGGAGTGCAGGGTTGCTTTCAGACAGCTCTTTCCTCTCCTTTCCCCTCTGTAACGATGTACACATGTTCCCTTCTTGCTTTGTCCCCCAAAATCTCCCATTCTAGGATGCTTTCCTGAGGTCTCTTTGCCACTGTGCTTCTCCACAACCTTTAAGAATCCTTGGCTGGGTTTTTGCTTTTTCCTTTGCTTCTCTCCATCCGTCCCCTTTTCCCTGACTGTAGAGATATGAGACAATCACACAAACTCCCCCTCTCAAAGGTGCAACACCTGTGCCCGTGATGCTGTACAGAGTATTTATTTGTTCACTGCAGTTGACAGTTCCAATACATGTTCCCAATATACAGACAGACTCCTCACTGCCAGGGGGGATGTGTGTGGGGAGGGGAACTCACTGGGGAGGAGCCACAGCACTGCTTGGAGCAGCAGCTCTCCTGGGGGAACAGCCTCTTCACCTTTCCCAGCAAGGTGGTGGCTGGACAGAAGGGATGGGGCTCTCCTGCTCAATCTTCCTGTAATGGGCCTCACTCCTACTTCCCACCCCCATCATGCAGCTGTATTGACTATTACAGACACCAACCCCTGTCTGCCAGGCCCAGAACCACTGCTACAGTTGTGCTAACATATATAAAGCTATTTACACAAAAATACCATTAAACATGTACAAACTTCACTAGCTCTGACATTGAGAGAGCAGGGCCCAAGGACCAGCCCTGGGGCTTGCAGCTAATCCTGAAGGGCTATCCTGGAAGCTTTACACGGAGGTGTAGGGATGGAGAGAGGGTGACGCAGCAAGGAGAGGAGAGCAAACCCATGGGAGGTGTGCTCAACTGAGGGGAGGGTCCAAGTCCTGCCATCACCCCACCACTGGCAGGGGAGTGCAGGGAGGCTGGAAGGGCATCTGCCAGCAGGGGTACAGGAGAGTTCTGTCCAACCCTCCCCTCAGCCTGGCTCTTCAGCTCCTGCACTGCTGCCCCCGCAGGGGCTCCAGAGGGGCTGCTTGGCACAGGGCCATGCCTGTCAGAGGGACATTCCCGGGATGCTCTGGAGCTGCAGGGAAGGGGACTGATGGCACTCAGAGGCACAGCTGAGCCCTGAGCTTACTGAGAGCCAGCGTGCCCAGGGCAGTCTGCTCCTCCTGGAACTGCCCACGGGCTGGGCTGCCCAGGGCAGGGTAATGCTGAGAAGAGCTCTCTGAGCCTCCAAACCCTGAAGCAGCGGTGCAAGAATCAGCTTTGCTGGGACTGGATCTAGAGTGATTGTTCCAGTGCTGGAGGGGATCTGCTGGGAATCTGCCAAAAGGGCCATAATGCATCTGCAAAGGGGGACTCAGCCCCCTGGACTGCAGAGAGGTGTGACAGTGACACTTGGGCTTCATAAAAGCCTTGGGGACAGAGATAAGAGGCAAACCTTTCACTTTTACGTCACCCACGTGAACCTGTCCTGGTCTTGGGTTTGGGGAAAGAAACACCCAAGTGCAAGGGCTGGCACATGCTGCAGGAGTCATCTGTGTCTGCATCAGGTGATTGGGCCAAAAAAGCCAGTTGGTTTGTGAGTTTGGGGTCAGAACAGAGAAGAGGGCTGAAAGCACAGCAAAGGCTGCAGACAACACTAACCCTGCAGGAGCCAGACAGAGGCTTCTCTCCAAAAACAATGAAAGCTGGTGGTGCACTTCAGCCACACCAGTTGCCTTGAGTTATCATGGCCCACTCTAGGCCTAGAGCTTATTTGACTGCCTGGAAATACTGTTTAGACACAAAGTGTCCTAAACCTCATTCATAAATTAAACATACAAAAAATATACATATACTGTATAAATTGTTACAGACATATATATATAAAACCTGGGTTTATATATATGTGTGTGTGTGTGTGTGTGTGTATAAATCCTAAATTCACATTTCTGTGTAACCAGGAGGGAAGCAGCATGCAAGAACAGCACATGGAGGGAGAGATGCTGCACAGGGTTCCTCTGGCACAGGACAGGTCTGCCTAGGACCAGTCTGCCTCCAGCAGCTCCCCAGGGAGATGAAGGAAGGGGAAGTGCTTTCAGCCCCCGTTCTCTCTACACAGGGGTTTTCCTGAAGATCCACAGAGCAGCTTCCTGTATTCCCCATACAGGCCACAGGTCCAGGGAAAAGATGAGGAAACACCAGGCTACAGCTGCAGAAGGAAAGGCAAACAAAAACTAAAGCCAAAGCCTACCACAATCCAGTCTGATAGAGCAAAGTGATAACTGACAGGTCAGCAGCTGAACCTGGGCTTCAATAGATAGAGGAGCCTGGTTTCCCCATGTCAAAACAAGTGATCTCTGTCCCACTTCTCTGTCCCCACTGGGATCCTCAGTCCCTTAGGATAACCATTCCTGGTTCTTCCTAAGCTCCCCTCCTTGTCCAGCTGCCCAGGTACAGCTGGCTCTCACACTCTGTCCAGCTTATGCCAAAGGGGCAGCCAGTCAGCTTGCCAAGTCTCTCTGCATCCCCAGGAGCACCTCACCGTGTCTGCAGTGAGGAGATGAGCTGTTTCCAGAGGCCTGGACTGGATTAGGGCTCTCTCCACAAGCTCACCTTCTGAGGAAAGTCGAGGAATTTCAGGCGTGCCAGGACACGCCTCACTTCGCCCCGGCTGGCCCTGGGGGTGCTGCTCCCCAGCCACACCATCCGCCCCTGCCTCAGCAGGGCCCACTTCAGGCCCAGTTTGCTGACCCAGAGGAGTCCTGGCTGTCTGTCAGAGCTTGCAGTAGTTGTCACAGTGATGTGGAATGCATCCTTCTGGAGATCGTTAATTCCCACTGGGCCAACAGAAAAAGGCAAGAAAATATTGGTGAGGAGTAAGTGACTCCACTTCTTCCAAAAGAAATCTTACAGTCTTTACTCACTCAGAACATCCACTGGACTGAGGGTACATTCAGCCTGACTTTATAATTGCATTACCTTGGTTAAAAAGGGAAAATGACTTTAAGTTAAACATCTCCCATGGAAGCAAACTGAAATTTAGGTCAGAAATTTAGGTGTGGTTCCAGGTGATGTTTCTGAGCTTGACACAGGAGATGCATGTTCCAGTAATGCACTTCACTTTCAGAGATTCCCATCCCACATCTCAGTAGCTACTGTTTGACCTTTGTAGAAGGCCTGTGTGTGGCAGATCTCAGGTGCTCCCTTTAAAGACACAACGACTCCCCCCTGCTTCTCACAGCTACCTCTCCCTCCACATTTCTTTTAGCCTAGGCAGTTTCTCCTCCATTTGTACTCACCTGCTGAAGCAATGACTTTGTCTGTTGCATTGGTGAGGTCCAAAAGGACTGTAGGAAACACAGGATGGAGGAGATAAAGGTGGTGCAGCCCTGGGCGCTCAGGTCTAGGAGCAGGTTGCTGTTGGAGTGAAGGACAGACAAAAATGTTGCAGCTGGCTAGCAAAGAGGAGTCTGGCTTGGCCAAAGAAATAAAGAAGTTTTCCGTCTTTATATAGATGAGGGAATCAAAAGCTTTACGGTTTTAAAGACATGAAATCCTTCAAAGCTTTTTTACTAGAACAGAATTTGCTCCACAGCTTGTTTGGTGAGGCTGAGATCTGGCTCTGTCAAAGCCAGCCTGATGGGCAAAGCTACAGGCTGGGAGATGGAGTCTCCCTGCTGATGTGTGTGAGCCTGTGCAGAGAAGTGCCCTGGGGCTGGGAATGAATCTGCAGTAAAAACACCTCAGTGTTGCAGAAAACAAATGTAATTCACACAGAAAGTTTTGGGTTTGTGGACACAAACAAAGGCCTCTGGTGAGGAACTGACACACAACAACTCCTGTGCTCACAGAAGTCAGTGTCAAAGCAGGAGGCAGAGAAGTCCCTGAGAGCCTTCCTGTATGGCAGGTGTAGAGTTCAGCTGCACTGGAGATAAAGGACAGGCTGATGTGCCTCACAGAGGAACCACGTGCAGGAGGGACACACACTTACCCAGCTCTGTAACACAGGCTGTGCTTCATCAGCCCAGAAGAGGAAAACAGACTTCTTGTCCAGGGTCATGACTGACAGTGCATCGAGCTGCTGCTTCTGCCACGGGAGCTCCTGCTTCCAAAGGGGGAGGCCAGACCTGCCATCCACCACCACCACCTCAGGGCAGGGAGAGGGCCAGCATTAATGGATGCCCAGGGGTGGGCGTGCAGAGACCCCCTTGCAGAGCCACGGCCTGTGCTGTCCCTTTGCACCCCTGTGGCCACGCAGGGATGAGTATCAGCCCCAGAACTGGGAAGAGCAAGGAGCAGGGAATGCCTGTCCCTTTCTGCCCCACCTCCCTCCCTCCTGTGCTGCCACTGCCCTCCTTGCCTCCTCTTGTTTTACCTTCTTGTTCCCATCCCCAGTCCGTGCTTGCAGCATGAAGTCCAGAGTCTGGTCAGCATTGAAGAAACCTGCTACAGGCTGGCTGGAAATTTGGAAAAAAAGCAACACTCAGCCCCACAGCAGAAAACCACGAGTTTCAGATGGAGGTAGCACAGTTGCTTTCATCCTCCACTCTGCCTCTTAAAAAGGCAGATCTGCCATGCTAAATAAGATCTCTCATTTGCTCAGAACTGTCCTGACTGTCAGGAGCCATTTGTTGGTGGATCAGGAGAGTAAAAAATGATCAAGCAGCCCATGGTGCTTGTCAGCCATTCCTCAGAGTCTGTGTGGGGGGTATCCCTCACTGGGCTGTGCAGACATTACAAACGTCCTGACATGACTCTGTTACTCCTCCCTTAGCATGAGAACCTGTACAGCTTTGCCATGGTCATAAAAAATGACCCAGCCCGTTCAGAATGCATCAGTAGATTTGACTTCCTGCTGAAAGTGTATTTCCCAGGCTGCCTTTGCTGTAAGAAATGGCTCTTAATATACTCACCATTAATGTCAGCCCATGATTCTTTGTTTTCTTACTGCTGGCACTTTTACAAGCCTTTTTATAACCTTCAGCAGTTTAAATGAAGTCCCCTCTCATCCTCTCCCTTCTGGATGACACAACACTCCTACTTGAATCTCTCTCATTATAACTGTTTTCTAACCATCTTATTTGCCTTTGGCTTTCTGAGTCTTATCTCTGTCTTCCATAAATTCACCACAGCTAGACACAAGGTTCTGAAAAAGCACAAACAATCCCTCAGAATTCCCAGAATCAGAGCTCTCATGGCAAGGCAGGATCATCAGACTGTGTCCCCCCTCCTCTTGTTTATGACAGATTTGTTGTATTTCACCCAATTAACCAAGCATCAGTAGGCTGACTCTGACTAGATCTACCAGCCTTGAGGCTTGCTCCACAAACACAAGGATGAGATGAATTCATCACCTCCTGACAGTCAGTTCTAATGATTAACCTCACCCAAAGAAACTTGCCTGCATTCTCATTTTCTGGAACATGAATGGCTTTTGCTCCAAGGCACTTGTTCTTGCTAGAGCAAGATTAAAATGCCTGTTAGCTCCTATTACTTACGTATGCTCATGGACTCACCTCTCAGGCTTCTCTTTGATCACACAAACCCACTGTCTTAAACCTTCTGCATGAAAGCATTTTTTTCCTGCACTTTTCTCCATTTTCCCCTTTGAAATGTGCATACTGGAATGGCTCCTGAACAGCAATGCCACAGCACAGCAGTGGCTTGGCTATTTGTATTTACTACATCAAATAATGTCATTTTCTTTGGCAACCAGAACCAATGCTTCCAAAGCAGTACTGGAAAGCTCTCCAGCAGCAAAAGGAAGCAGGAGGGAGTTCTATCCTATGGGCACAAACTTAAAGCCTCTCCTAAGGTGCCTCTTCTCACGTCCCTTCTGGGTTACAGTCAGCAGCAGATCCCACAAACAGAATGCAGACAGATAAAAACATTTTAGATGCTACCAATCAACTGAAAAATCCCCTGGGCATTTTCTTAAACGAAGCAGAAGGCCAGTAATTATTCCTGGCCAACAGTAATCCCCACAGCAACTCGCTATTAATCCTCTCTCATCTGAAACATCCATTTACAACAGAATTTTCGAGTGCTTACTCAATTTCATGGTCTCTGAACTTCACCCTTGTTTTATGACTACTAATTCTGCTTTATGGTTTTCCAGGGATCTTGTCAAAAGCTATCTGGAAAGGCAGCACATGTGCAGCACCCAGGTTGTTCTCCTGGGAGGCTGTCTCCAAGGGGCTGAGCTGGGGGCAGGTTTCCCAGGGGAAGGGCAGCTCTCAGTGCCCTGTGAGCTCTGTCTGATGGGGAACTGGCTTTCAGTCTGGTCCACTCTGGGGTGACACCCCTAGACTGAATTCATCCCCCAGCCTGTGTTGCTTAAGCAGAACTTCCATAGGTCCTAAAAACCCCTCATCTCTGAAAGAAATGCATGTCCACAATATACTCAGTCTACCAGATTTCATCTCTCTGCACTCTGAAAAAAAGAGGCAGTCCAGGACTTTAACACAGGAGCCTTGAACTAGAATTGCTTCATTGTTTTTCAGTGCCCATGCAGCAGCTCCTGTCCATGTTGTACACTGTCCTTGGGAGGTCGTGGAATCAGAAAAAAACAGGTCTGGAGTGCAGCAAGCTGGAATATGGGTTGCCAGAGAGGCTGGAGGCTGGAGTCTGTTCTCTTTCTCTAGATAGCAGAGCAAGCAATTTGTTTCCCACATAATTTCCCTCAACTGTGCCCAACTGCCCTTTGCAAATATTTAATAGTGAGTAAGCTGAGATTGCTGGTTATTATCAACCCATGAGATCTGGCAAATTACTTAATTTCCACATGTGAAATTAGAGGGTGAGCAGTATTACTTTAAAGCTTACACCTAACATGGATGGTGTGCTGACTGCCATCAGAGTGCTCCTTTCTAACTTTCAAGGAACATTCAGACCCATGAGCCATGCTCAGACACCTTCTCTCACACTTAACATCACTAAAGGAACTGCTGCTCTCCACTGAGCTGGCAAGAGGCAGCCCTGGGCAGCAGATGGGATGAATCACACACCAGTAGCCCCTGAGCTCCAGGGCCATGGCATTCCCATGACATCAGTGCTGGGTGCCTGAGTCAAGCTCCTTATTTATGATCTCTCACAAGCACAGAGCTCAGGTTTCCAGCCTTCTGCTCCTTCTCCCCTGCACTCCTCACCTCCTCAGCTATGTGTCTGCACACCTTCAGCTCTTAGATCTCTCTGCAGACTTGGCAGAATTATTCTTAGCTGCTTTGTAAGGAGCACATATGCTTCCAAGTGAAAGGCACCAAACAGTACAGGAAGAAATATGACAGAGAAATGTTCCCAGTGTGTAACCTGCTGATGTTCTGCAGCTCCAGGGTCCAGCGGGGCTCCAGGTCCTCTCCCTGCAGCAGGACCAAGCCCTCTTTGGTTGTGATGAGCAGGTTGCTGCAGTTTGTGTCAGGCACCTTCATCGTCTGCAGGAAGTCAACACCCCCACTGGGACAAATGGAAAGCAGAGAGGAGGTTCTGAGGCTTCTATCTGCATTTCTCAGCACCACCTGCCTGTCCACCTGGAAATTCATCCTACCTAAGATTTCAGCTATTCTTGGAGAAGTCCATCTTTGCCCTACTGATGGACCTTAGCTTCCTTTTGAGGCTCCTCAGTTAAGTGGGCCACACTCAGATGTGGGGCCTTCTGAACACCTTGAGTTAGTACAAACAGCATAGAGTTTCTGGGTTCACATTTGTTCCCTTCCTTGATTATTATCCAGGCTGACCTAGACCACAATTTGGTGGTAAAGAAGTTGCTCAGAAATCCAGGCCCACAACATTGGACACAGACTGAGCTTCCCAAATGGACTCCACTAGCTGGGAACACCTGGGTTTTCATTCCTCCAGGAGGTGGAGGACCAAGGAGCAGGAGAAGCAAAGGACTCCCTTTTATCACACTCTGCACTTCTTCTGCTAGGACACCCACAGGACAGGGAGGAAACAGTTGGTTCCCCAGAGTACTGGTAAGAACTAGACAATGAAAAGCACAGTCCTGAAGCAGAAGGGACCATCTCTAGGAGCACTAAGAGGTGCCTATCCTTCTCTTCCCCTCCTAACAGAAGCCAGACAAGTCCACCTCCTACCTGTAGATGTCAATGAGCTCTGAGAGGTTGGCAGCTCTGCGCTTCTCCCACTCGGGCTCCTCCTGCTCCAGCCCTGCAGGGAAGCGATCCCGATTCCTGGCCTGGCTGAAGATGTCCCTCAGGGCCACTGCTTGAACATTACCTGCCAGGAAGATGAGAGGTGAAGAGTCCTGCCTGCAAAAGTTAATTCCCCAGTAGCACGGAGGGTCCTTGGGACCACTGCAGTTGTGGTAGAAGGGAAAAGCTGCCCAGAGCTCATTCCCCTGGCATGACGTGCCCTTGGGAAGCCCTGAGGGACTCCAGGCTAGCAGAGCAGTGCTCCTGCACTCTCCACACTGTGCCAGTGAGACTCGTCCCCATCCCCTCTGCTCCCAGATGCTACAGCAGGAGGCATGGCAGGAACACCCCAGGGATCTCTGGGGCAGCTCAGCTCAAATGCACACCTCCTCAGTCAGGTGAAGTGGGGGGACACGAGGTGCATCTCACCAAAGCCAAACAGGATGTAGATGGCTCCCCGGCTGGTGACGTGGACTTGGGGGCCGATCACCTTCCCTTCTCCATTGGTGCCATACTTCACAGGCCCACCCAAAGCAGTCCCAGTCCTTCCTGACACCAAGATGAAAAACACATCAGGCTGCAAAGAGAGAGATGGAGAGATTTTTAGCAGTGCTTTCATGCACTTTTGCTCCCAGGATCCTCCCCAGTCCCCACAGTGTGAAGCCCCACTGCTCCTTCCCCACACAGCAAGTCTAGCTGGCTGTCCCTTTCTTTCTCTCACTCTGGCTTCCTGGGCATCCTGCATTCATGCTTGTCTCTTGACTGCAAATGAGTGAAAGATAGAAGGGACTCCAAACACCTGAACTTCTCTACCCACATCAATGCCAGAATTGTGGGGAGGGATGAGCACAGAGGAAACCTGCATCTGAATTTATCACACAAACATTTTAGATAAGCAGAATGCTCCTTTTTCCAGAGACCTATCTCAACATGGCTCCCTACACTGCTGCTAAACTCTCACTTCAAGCCTTCATGGATCAAACCCAGAAACTTCTCAAGTCTCACCAGGGCTAAACAGTGACCCTTCAGCTCACTCCCAGCTGACCAGCAATGCACACAGTCCCACTGCTCTGGCCTACTGACAGACAAAGGGTCCTTTTCAGGGAGATCTAAGGGAAGGAAAATCAGGGGCTCTTGCAGTTCCTGCTACAGCCTTTCTGAATCAGGCTCCCTGCTCACCCTCTAGCTAGCCAAGGTCCTTGCAGATCTGGAGGAGGGATATGAGGTACCTGTATCTCTTTGAGAGCCAGGACTATGATATCCCTGATCCCATCTCCATCCACATCCGGAAGCGTTGCAGCCGGTGCAGCCAGGATCCCACTCGAAAGGTGGATGGGGTTCAGTGTCCAGATGGTCTTGCCTGTGGGAGGAACAGGACAGAACAGACCTGCAGCACCTGGGAAACCAGCAGGCATCCACAGAGGGTTCCACAGAACCTTCTGGAAGGAGGGAGCAAGAGACGTTGTTTCCCCATTCTCTGAGAAGAGGAAAGACCAGCCTACAAACTGGGGCCAGCTACAGTGGGAAGCAAAGTTCTTCCCACAGCATGCCTGCAGTTTGTTCTTGAGTCATGCATCAAGTCTTGCTGTGCTTCCTTCTCAGCATCTCTCTGTAAAGACCCAGACCCAGAGCAATTTCTGAAACAGCAGAGGCTTGGAAGGAGAGCCTGAATGAATGCTGCTCTGCAGGACAGCTGCTGTTTCCTCAGCCAGCAGGGAAGCCCACAGGCAGGTGCCAGGGAAGGGAACAGATGGGCAGTTCTGATATTCAAAGTGCAAAGCTGTGTCTCAGTTCAATTCCCAGCAGCAAACAGCCACTCCAGCATGGCATGCTCCTTCCACCTCGGGGTGAAAGCATGTTAGCAGACAGACACAGTGTCAAACAGTTCAGCAGTCCAGCATGGGCCCAGCTGGAAACTCAGCAAAACCTGTTCTGCAAACTGGCAAACAAGCACTCCAAAAAAAGCAAAATGAAATTCAGTGCTTTTACTTTTCCATGATCCTTTTGCCAATGCTTCTGCTTTTCCAGTCAGAGTTTAAAAATGCTTCAGTGCTGCTGCTGCTGCTGCTGCTGTGCAGAACAGCATCTGCCCCTGCCTGACAAACACTGCAAGTCACCTGCTGCCTTAAAGCACCTGGAAGGTAAGTGCCACTGCTCATGGACTGGATGTGCCACTCAGACCCAAGGTTTCTCACACAACTCCATTCCTTGTTCTGACCCCAGGGCTGTCCCCATCCCCTCCCTATGAACAGCTCTGCAGTGAACTGATGTGGTGGAACAAACAGCAAACAGAACAGAGGGGTACATGACCAAGTGATCAGAAATGCAATATTCATTCACCTCAAATTCTCTATGGATCTTATTTCTCTGGAAGGTTTCCTGGCTGCAGCACATCATATATGACTTCTCCAAGAGCAGTGTTTAGCTCTCAGTGCTGTTAGGTAGGTGCTGAGTTGTACCAACAGCTCAATGCTGATGAGAACAGACCTTACACATCTTTTATGCCACAGGGATGCTACAGAGTAAGATTAATACTTTGAAATGTTCTGAGATGGTAGGATGAAGGTGCTGCCACAGAGCAGCAATGGTTTGGATTGTCCTATCCTGTGTAACTAGAAACTCATTAGTGTTTTGACTTCTTCCAGCGTGTCACTATGTTACAGCCCCCATGAAGTGCCAGCACTGAACCATTCATGCTTATTAGTCCTTTAGAGAAAACAAAAAAGCAGTAGTGGATTTCTAATATGCTGGTAGTTGACTTTACCTGTGGAAGCACTGAGGAGGCTGAGGAATTTTGATGTTCCTGTAACAAGGCAGACAGGCTCTGCAGGTGCCCCCAGTGACAGCCCTTTGCACTGCACACTCCGAGTCTCCTCTGGAAGCTGGATGGACCACAGAGTGCTGCCATTCATACCAGAAAGGGCCACCACAGTTACAGAGGGCCTAGAGACACCTGGAAGAGGCAGGAAAGAAAGAGTGAAATCCCTTGGCATCAAAGGCTACATCCATGCTGCCTTTTGCACTTGAGTTTCAGTTCTAGCTCCTAGAGCCGAGTGGTTCATGACAGCCACATCCACATTGCCTGGAAGTAAAGGTGAAATCCCACCCTGTGGCTGAGCTTCTCTGCCTGCAGAGCCTAGCAGTGACCTCCAGACAACCCGGGCTATCAGCCAACAGACAATCCTGGAGGGTGGACCTGAGCTCACAGCACGAAGAATGGTCAGCTGGACACAGAGGGACGAAGATCCTGGGGACAGCCTGCTCAGCTGTGCTGACTTCCTGGAGTGAAATATGCTGCTGTCAAACCAGACTGACCCTTCTGATCCCCTCTGCTTCAAGACAATGGCTAGCACCAGTGGGAAACATTAAGGGACTCCCAAGGCAACACCACTGTGTGTGGGAGTCCTGGGTTGTTTGTAACTCTGGATCAGCAGCTGAGGGGCACCTTGAGAGCTCTCTCCTTAAGATTTCCAGATGGGTCCTATTATTGTGAAAAGCACTGAATGCAAACAATTGGTGTAACTCAGGGCTTTTCACAAGTCACCAGCTAGCACAAAATAATTAGTAAAGAAAAAAGTGATCTATGCTGTTCCAATTGACTGTTGCTCCCACAGGAGTTCCCTTCAGGCTGTGCAATGCACACCTGCTCCCTGAGTAAGTCTCTGAGACTGAGCAGATTCAGGTAACCTCAGGTGATGCCAGGCTGGGCAGGGATGCAGAAGAGCAGGCAGCTGGGAGCCTCCAGGGCTTCAGAAGCCCAGTGCAGCGAGATGCCACTAGACTTGGCAGCCCCTGTGTCACAGTGGCCAGTACCAGCAGGCTGCTGCTGTGCCACCTGAGGGATCTGAGGGTTAACAGAAAGCAGGAGCAGCCAGCAGGAGGAAGCAGGGCAGTACCCACTGAACAGCCGGGCACAGCAGCTTCCCCACCACCATTCAGTCTGTTAGCTGTGAATTAACAATGATTTGGAGCCTGGCAAGTATACGGAGTGACCTGAAGAAAAATTCAGCAAGGTGGGGGTGCTTCCTGCAACACTGACCTACAGCTGCCAAAAAAAAAAATCCATAATGCTCCCTGCTGGCAAGTGAGTGCTTAGTTCAGAAGAACCAAAGCTCTCCAGCAGTCAGCCCTACCATCACTGGTCCTGTCACCGACTACCCTTGGTCACGAGCAGGACACTGGCCCACAGATCAGGAAAGAGTCAAAACTCTCCCACTGAATCCCATTTGTGACCCTTCTCATGCCACTTCCTTTCTCTGTGCTTCCCCCTCAGTGCCTGTAAAATGGAGGTAGTTGGACTGAGCTCTTTTGTAAAGGGCTCTGAGAGATGACAAGGTGGGACAAGACACCACTTATTCCCCACTGCTATCTGCAGAGCAGTGCTTGCTGATTTATCTGTCCCCAAACCAAGTGTGCACAAATACAGGACAAAGAGATAGTCTTGCTCCAAGACGAAATAAGGGGAAGTACATGACACTGACCCAAAAGCTATGGGAGCATGGGCTTGCAATGGAAGTTATGAGCAGCCTGGCAAAGCACAGGCAGAACACGTCAGCCACGCTAAGGACTTCTGCAGAGAGCAGTGCAGGGGATTTGCAGCAGCAGGAACTCTTCCTGAGCACAAGGTGGACACGCCAAGGTCCACACTGACATGGAAAGGGGCTGCAGTGCTTACCCATGACACTGGCGTTCATCAGGGCAGTGAAGACAAGGAGGATGTCGGGGAGCCCATCGCCGTTCACATCACACAGCTCCAGGGGGGACAACACACCACCTGCAACAGTCACAGAGAACCACCCACTGCTGGCAGAAAGGCCACTCGCTGGGCTGGCCCAGAAAAGCCTCACAGAGGCTGCTGTGAGCCACCAATGCCAGGCAGCTCACACAGAAAAATCTTCCATTGCACGGAAAGGCAGAAACAAAACATCTGCACCAAGGAAAGGAAAGGGAAAAAGGGAGCAGCTAACAGAAAAAGATTTCTGCTTCCCATTTCACTTTCTGAGGTGATGCGGGAGCCACGTATCTTATGAAAGGCTTGGATTTGGAAGCCAGGGGCAGAAAGCAAGGAGGCAGAGACATATCTAGACCTGGCAGAAATTGACAAATCACTGTTACTTTGCTGCAGAAGTCAGAATGGGAGGCACTTTAGAGATGTTACCAGTGGCCCATATAGGATGACAGAAGATTCCAAAGGGCAATTTACAGATTCAAGCAGGACAAGACAAAAGAAATAAGGTTAGTTAAGCCAGTTAGAAGACACAAAGACTTCTGTCCCTCTCCTCCCAGACACACCCACACACCTCAGCGTGGAGGTGCTGGTGAAATCTCAATGGAGAGAGGGAGCCACTATTTTTTAAAGTGGGCTGGGCCATCTCCATCTGGGAGCCCACCATCCGAAAAGGCAGGATGGGAGAAGAGTCAAAATGGGTTTTGGTGTTGACAGAACCAAGATTTGGTGGCACTGTTACCTACTGATGCCAGATTTCACGGGCCTCAGCTTGAAGAGGGAGCAGGACACGGCCGCCTGTCTATTACCTCGGAGCACCTGCAGTGGTGAGGAAGGGGCTCTGCTCTGGCCTGGCTCCCCCAGATAGGTCTCTGCCGTCGATGCCCAGCCTGGGAGCTGCCACCTCCCCCACGCCAG